CTTCGTCTCATCGAGATCTAAAATTGTCGTTTTTAGTGAAAGTTAAAATTCAGCTTCTAAAGGCCTCGTTTGGCTGAAAACAGTGGCTGTTATTTTTTTTTTCTTTTGATGTAGGAAATGCTGCACCAATCTTTTAAAATGCCGTGGATGCTATAGTAATGCTGTAGTAAAAATTTTCTTTTTGAAACTGTGTTGGACAGCCTGTCCGTTTCTTTTACAAAATGGCCTCAAACTTGTTTTTAGAATTAAAGTTGGGTTTTGTCATAGTAACCGAAAATGTTCAAAACATCTAGGGCTATAAGTTTAAACTTTGAAACACCGAAAAATCTCGCTCTAGGATCCTCATTTCTGAATTCAAAGTAACCGAAAATTTTTTTCTCTAACAAAAATAAGCAAACTTCAACCATGTATAAACATACCACATATTGCTAATCAATCTAAGCTCAAACTCACAAAACCAACATAAAACTCACACACTCTTATTACAATCTCATCTCCTCAAGAACCACAAATTTACATCCATAAATCCAAGCTTAAAGTTGGCTAGAAATTGATGGAGAAGAGTTTAAAAAAACTTACCCTTGAGGAACTCTCTCTTTCTTGAAAAAACTTTGAACTCCTCTAAGATTTGTTAATGGCTTGGAACTAGAAGAGTATAAGGAATTTTGAGAAGAATATTTCCATATTTCAAACTTTACTAAAACGTGAAAAAAAAGAGAGGATTTAGAGTTTCTTTACCCTTGGAGAGATGCTTGTCTACACTCTTCCTAGAATCCCTTGATCTCCTTCTTCTTCTTCTTCTTCTTCTTCTTCTTCTTCTATTGTTTGCTAGTGGTTTAAAGTTAGAAGAGTGGAAGAAAATATTTGAGAGAGATAGTGGAAAGTGTGGCCGGTTTGGGTGTGGAGGAAATGAGAGGAGATGTGCAAAAATGGCTAACCTAATGCTTGCACTAATGGTCTCTCCTTTATAGACATTGCTTGATCTCATCTTAGTTCTCATTTATGCCTATCAAGCTAGCTTAATTAGCTAGATTTTTAGATTAATCCCCCCTTATTGTGGCTGGCCGATTGTGTGATTCAAGAGGAAAGTGAAGCAAGCAATTCTTGTCAAATAGTTGATTTGACTCTATCTCATCATGAATCCTCTAGCACACTCCACTAGCCAAATTTTGGTTATAATCCCTTAAGTTTGGCCGGTCAAGTGAGGAAAGAAGAGAGAGAAATGAAACCTAACCCTTGTACTTTTGTCCATTTTCTAAATTTTCTCTTTGAAACTGTTAAAAATTATACTGACAGTTATTTTCTCCTGTATATGTGTACTAGATGCTAGTTCGTACTGTGTTTGGAGATTCTTAGAATTAGGATTCTCAAACTGTATCTGTACTAGAAATTCTTCCGTTTTAAATTACGGTGAGAATTTTTTGATCGAATTTACTTGATCACAAAAACGTGAACTTAACGTGAAATCTGTTACAGAATTATAGGAATACAGATGTTAATTCCACAAATCCTTCAATCACAAGATATACCATTATATATTTCATTTTTTCAGGAAAAATCCTTGACTTAAATACATGAATTGCATTATTTAAATTATGAGATTTTCTTGGTCACTACAATCTACCCCCCTTAAGAATTTTCGTCCCGAAAATTAGAACAACTCGGGGTAGCTTTTTCTCATATCATCTTCGCGTTCCTATGTAGTTTCCTCCACATTGTGATTTCGCCATAAGACTTTAACTAGAAGAATTACTTTATTCCTTAAAGTTTTCTCCTCGTGAACCAAGATCTGGACTGGTTTTTCCTCATAGGTGAGGTCCGCGTGCACCTCGACAGGTTCCTGGTGCAATACATGTGATGGATCTGTCACTTATTTCTTCAGCATTGATACATGAAAGACGTTGTGTATAGAAGCCAATTCTAGCGGCAATGCTATTCTGTATGTGACCTTTCCAATCCTTTCAAGAATATCAAAAGGTCCGATGTATCTTGGACTGAGTTTCCCTTTCTTGTCAAATCACATTACCCCTTTCATCGGTGCCACCTTCAGAAGAACTAAGTATCCTGTCTGAAACTCTAGTGACCTGCGGCATAACTCTTCTGACGACTGTGAGCCGTATCTAACCTCTCTCTGATGAGTCTTACATCCTCTGTGGTTCTCCTGATGAAGTCTACTATCTCAAGATGCTTCTCCCTTGGTTCATACCAGTGAATTGGAGACCTGCATTTTCTTCCGTATAGAGCTTCGAAAGGTGCCATTCCTATTAACGTGTGATAGCTATTATTGTAGGAAAACTCTATCAAAGGTAACTTCTTATCCCAGTTTCCCTTGAAGTCCATGACACATGCCCTTAGCATATCTTATAGGGTCTGGATGGTCCTCTCAGATTGGCCATCTGTCTGCGGGTGAAAAGCCGTACTGAACTTTAGCATAGATCCCATTGCGTCATGTATACTTTTCCAAAATCTTGACGTGAAGCGGCCGTCTCGATCCGAAATGATGGATTCTAGAATTCCATGCCACGCTACTATCTTGGACACGTAAAGTTCGGCCAGCCGCTCAACAGAATAACTGAGTTTGATTGGTAGAAAATGTGCGGATTTAGTCAATCGATCTACGATCACCCAAATTGCATCGTTACCGTCGGATGTTCTGGGCAACCCTACCATGAAATCCATCGTGATTTGGTCCCACTTCCATTCTGGAATGTCAATCTCTGTAGTTCTCCTGCTGGACGCTGATGCTCTGCTTTAACTTTCTGACAGTTAAGGAACTTCGATATGAATTTAGTCACGTCCTTCTTCATTCCTGGCCACCAAAAGCTCCTTTTCAGATCCTTGTACATCTTAGTTGCTCCCGGATGAACAGAGAAAGGCGTTTCATGTGCTTCTGAAAGGATCTGCTTCCTCATTTCCTCATCTTTAGGGACACATATCCTACCCTTATGGAGGAGTGTGCCATCCTCCAAGAGGCTAAACACTGTTTCTTTGCCTTCGAAAACTTCCTCCTTTAACTTCACTAAGGTAGGATTGAATTCCTGACTACTCTTCATGTGCTCGAGGATGGTCGGCTGTAGGGTGAGAGATGATAACTTCCCTGAAATTATCTCAATTTCAAGGTTGTATATGTCCTTCTGCAGGGGTTGTGGCAGAGCACTGATCGCCATTAGTGTCGCTGACGACTTCTGACTTAGTGCATCAGCCACCTTATTTGCTTTTCCGGGATGATAGAGGATCTCACAATCATAGTCCTTTACCAATTCTAGCCATCTTTGTTGTCTCATGTTCAACTCCTTCTGAGTGAAGATGTACTTGAGACTTTGGTGGTCTGTGTAGATCTCACACTTCGCTCCATACAGGTAGTGTCACCATATTTTCAGTGTAAAAACCACCGCTGCAAGTTCTAAATCGTGTGTCGGGTAGTTCCTTTCATGATCTTTAAGTTGTCGCGAGGCGTAGGCGACCACTTTTCCTCCTTGCATGAGAACGGCTCCTAATCCTTTCTTAGAAGCATCGTTGTAGACTACGAAGTTCCTTTCCTCTGCATCTAGAATGGTCAACACTGGTGCGCTGGTGAGTCTCCCTTTTAGCTACTGAAAGCTTTCTTCGCATTTCTCGGTCCATTCATACTTCCTTTCTTTTCGCGTGAGAGCCGTGAGCGGTGCTGCTAGCTTTGAGAATCCCTCTACAAAGCGCCGGTAGTATCCCGCTAAACCAAGAAAACTACGTATCTCCGTCACGCTCCTCGGAGCTGACCAATTACTAACTGCTTCAATCTTGGCGGGATCCACGGTAACTCCTTCTTTGGATACCACGTGCCCTAAAAATTGTACATTTTCTAGCCAAAATTCACACTTTGAAAAATTTGGCATACAACTGGTTCTCCTTCAGTATTTGTAAGGCAGTCTTCAGATGCTCCTCGTGCTCTTCCTTCGTCTTAGAGTAGATCAGAATGTCATCTATGAAAATGATAACAAACTTGTCTAGATGATCCCTAAATACTCGATTCATCAAGTCCATGAATGCTGCTGGAGCATTAGTCAGTCCAAACGGCATCACGAGGAACTCAGAGTGTACATAACGAGTCCTAAAAGCTGTCTTTGACACGTCGTCTTCCTTTATCCGAAGCTGGTGGTACCCTGAACGTAAATCAATCTTGGAAAAATATGCAGCTCCCTTCAATTGGTCGAACAGATCGTCGATCCTCAGAAGTGGATACTTGTTCTTGATCGTAATCTTATTCAGCTCCCGATAGTCGATACACATTCTCAGTGTACCGTCTTTCTTCTTCACGAACAAAATTGGTGCTCCCCATGGCGAATAACTTGGGCGACAAAACCTTTATCTATCAACTATTGTAGTTGCACCTGAAGCTCTTTAAGCTCGGCCGGGGCCATCCGATATGGTGCCTTAGAAACTGGTGCTGATCCTGGCATCAGTTCGAGCTCGAATGAGATCTCTCGCTCTGGGGGTAGTCTTGGTAATTCTTCTAAAAAGACTTCCACGAATTGTTTGACTATTGGAATATCCTCCGGTCTCATTTTAATCTCCTTAGACTTGTCCACCAAATTAGCCAGATACCCTATGCATCCACTGGCTAACATCTTACTTGCTCTCATTGCGGACACCATCTACACTGGCCGCTCTTGAGATGTCCCTATGTAAGTGAACTCGCTTTCCTCGGGTGGCTTGAACGTGACCTTCCGACTTCTGCAGTCGATGACGGCATTGTATTTCCTCAGGAAGTCCATTCCCAAAATGACATCGTAATTGCTTATCCTGATGATTATCAAGTTCACGTACAACGTTCTCCCACAAATAATTATTGAAACATTTTTTAACCAATAATTAAACAATTTAGGGTGTCCAGGCCTCTTTGAGTACCAACTGTCAATCATGAATACTGGATTTTGATATATGGCCTTAACAATTTTGTGTAAGTAAATGTACACCAAAAAATTGCGCAAATGATTTCTCTCTTTTTTTTATGTATTTTCAAAATGGATGCACGCATTCGTCAACCAGCAGAAGTGCTTGGGATACACCGAATCATTGACTTGTGGGTTCAAGGTCACGTCCTTTCTACAGTATTGTATATGCGTACCCTTAAGCATAGATCTCAAAAAATTAATACTATATTCTGCTATCCACTATCTTGACATTAGTATTTCTGTTTACCTTACTTTACCCATATGGTTCACTGTTGTCCAACTCTTGGGAACTTTTTATCTATTTGTTGATAATGCGATAGATTGTGTTGGTTTCATTGTCTTTGAAGTTCAGTGTATTTTAAGATGGCATATTTCTTGCTTCGTTCCGGAATTCTAAGGCACCTTTGGTATTCTCTTTTTTTTTTTTCCCAATGCAACTAGCATGATCGCATGTTCATTGCTCTCTACTTCTTGTAATTATTCTCTGACCATTGTAAGATATGCGATTCTCCCTTTAGGCTGCCAAAAGCGCTGGGGTTCCTGTTATTTTGGATGCTGGTGGAGTGGATGCTCCAATCTCACAAGAACTGTTGGAATTAGTTGATATTTAAGTATTGATGAAATTTTTCTTTTTTTTTTCCCTTCTACGTGGTTGTGGTAATAGAAATTTGATTTTTTTTTCTTTTTCTAGCATGGGGAATATAATGGTTCTGTTACTTCTGTATATTCGATTATATGGGCATGTAGGGCGTGAGTTTTAGCTGTTTCTCCATTAGTTTCATGCCTTTTGTCATTGGTCTCGTCTAAAAAACACCAGCCTGAGAACGAAGAAGTATCTAATTTTGGAATCTTTTTTCCCCCTATTACTATTCCCATATTAAGATTATCATTTCTTTGATGTCTCTTCCTTTCTAAGATGGCTTTGATTTGGATAATAGATATCCTCCCTTGAGCACAATGAAACCTTCAGTTTACACAGCTTGCTCATACTCGGGCTTATAGGCGTTTGAACATAGAATGTTCTCTTGTTAACAAACTTTCCTCTCCTATTGGTGGAAGTTTTACTGAAATCTGGTTTTGTACTAAATTACAGTTTTTTTTCCCTTATTATAAACAAGTCAATAGGTGATAGAATACCTGAAATTGGACGTAGATCCCAGTTGCATTCTGGTGTTACAATTTTATCATATCTCAGGGTGTTAAGCAAGTCTTGGTGAAACTTGGTGCCAGAGGATCTGCTCTTTTTGTAGAAGGGGAAGAACCAATTAAACAACCAGTCATAGCTGCCGAGAAAGTCCTTGATACTACTGGAGCTGGCGATACTTTTACCGCGTCTTTTGCTGTAGCTCTTGTGGAAGGAAAGTCTAAAAAGGAATGCTTGAAATTTGCAGGTATTTATCTATCTTTCTATCTATCTATCTATCTATGTCTTGTGTCCCGTGCATTCCTTTTTACAAATTTGAAGTACTCTTCATGATTTCTTCTTTCTGCAATTTTCTTTCAACAGCTGCAGCAGCTTCTCTTTGTGTTCAAGTGAAGGGAGCCATACCGAGCATGCCTGACCGGAAATCGGTTATGAATCTGCTTCAATCTCTTTATAAATCTTCTCAAGATTTGCCAAATTCTGTTCCAATACATGAGGGGCAAGTTAGAAATGGATGTGCTATCGTTCTGGATTGAACTATTTGTTTAGGACTAAAATTCTTATTTTTCTGGACTTTATAGACTGTGTGCTGGACATATTGTTATCTTTATGAAGTTTTTTTGCTGAACTATTTGCTTGATTTTGTGGACCGAAGTATGTTTTATTAACTTAAATTTATTGGGACTGTTGGACTTGGAATGTTTTTTAGGACTATTGGATAATGGATGTTATGTTATTACCTTTTACTGTTTTAGTGCTTTTGAATGTGTTAGACTTAGGACTATTGGACTGTTGAATGTGTTATTTGTTATGTTAAATAATATTTACTTATTTACTGCTTTTTCCAACTTGATAATTTACTTATTGAATGGAAGAGTTAAAAGAATTGATTGGGAATTAGTAGTAGTCCATGAAGTTCGGAGTGATATGGGAATGTGTTGGAGGTTGGATTTCCATTTGAGGAGAGAATCAACTTGATCATTGGAAGTAGAATTACTATTAATATTTGTAGGTATAACAAACAAGATAAAGAGAGCTAGAGAACTTATTTTCTCCAAACTGAGAGCTAGAGAAGTTATTTTCTCCAAACTTTCAAAACTGACTAAGGTAACAAAACTTTCAAGACTTTCAAAGTTCCAAAGTGTTTTTTTTATAAAAAATAAAAAAAATAAAAAAATAAAAAATAAAAAAAATAAAATTAGAGGGCTCAACCCGACAAACCCTTGCGAGCCGACCTTACTCGAGGTAACCCGATGTTGTACGGGTTTTTGGGTTCTGCGGCCTGTTGCGGCCCACATGTTTCCCATCCCAATTATTGTGGCTCGGCCCAAATTTCAGCTAAACCCGAGCCCACCTGGCCAACTTACACCGTTAATCTCTCCAATTAGTATTTGCAGTTGCATTATCTAATGTTATGGCCATTATTCTATCTCTTAAACTATATTCATCAATAACAGATAAAATTGTGTTATATATTAAATTGGCAGTATGTGATCCTATAACACATTTGAAACCTAAGATTCTCTTATCCAAATCAAAACTTTTATAATAATGTCCGGTTACAGCTAAATAATCCTTGTTAGCAACGACGGACTAAATATCCGCCGTTAACGCAACGCAACCACTAGTAGAGTGTAGAAGGTTGATTAATGCTTTTTTTTCTTGTTTATATAATTTTAATGCATCTTTCCTAAGAGTAGTTCTAGAAAAAAATTATGCATTAGGATTATGTACAATTTTAATATAACGCTGCTAATTTCTTTGTTCAGTAAAACTTAGTGGTTGATCTAATATGGCTATTAATCGTGTCATTTTCATACGATCAACTTGCGGGTCGCATTTCCACATGCTTAGACCGCCGGTTTGGCAATCAAACGATAATTGCGTTTGGCGGAGATCAGCTCCGCCTCCTTGCTTTTGAAGACACTTTTTAGAGTGTCTTCTTAAGTGTGTAGTGCCGTGAATAGTGTTACCTTGTAATTTCTCACCACAATATTTACATTGAGCTATGTATTTAATGTTACCGTTATTGTCGACCCCCTCGAATTTGTTGAAGTGCCCCCAAACTGTTGAGGTGCACTTGCATTTCTTCTTAGAACTTGCAACACTTGCACTAGCACTACCGCTTGCCTCTCCTCCACGGCCACCAGTGCCACCACCATTACGTCCCCGACCTCTAGTACGTCCACCATGGGTCGGATTTGCAGTTTCCTCAGTAACTCTTTCTGTAGTTTGCGATTCCTGCGTTTGAAAAACATTAGGAAATTGCCCTTCTTTGATGTTGAATTGGGCATCAATGGGAATATCACCACCATAACTAGAAGAAGTCATTATGAAAAATAAGAGAGATTGAGAGCGCTTTGAGGGAGATTAAGAGAGATCAAGAGAGATTTAAGCCAGATTAAGAGAAATTTGAGAGAGATTAAGAGAGATTAAGAGAAATTGAGAGAAATTGAGAGAGAATGAGAGTTTTTAGGTGAGGAAAATGGTTGGGGAGAGGGGGGTATTTATAGAAAATAGAGAAATTGAGAGAGAATGAGAGTTTTTGGGTGAGGAAAATGGTTGGGGAGAGGGGGGTATTTATAGAAAATTTTTTGGGTTGAAAAAAAAAAATTTTCCCCAAAAATTCGGGTCCAACGGCTAGTATAATTTTCGAGCAGGTCTGGCAACGGTCAAAATATAGCCATTGGATTCGAATTTTTGAGCAAAATTCGGGCATCGGGTCGGGTTCAGACAAAAAGATCCGTTTGGTTCAAAATTCGGGCATTTTTCGGGCAACGGTCAAAAAAATTCGGGTAAAATTCAGGCAACTTCAGGTAATACCGGAAAATTCAAAAAAAATCCGGCGGACGGCAGGGGACGACTTCTCTACGGCAGCGAGCAGTCGGGGGAATGAATATTTTTAGAATGCCCGAGCCCATGCCTAAAAAATACTATGGTCGAGCGACGAGAGACACCTGCCCGCCGTGCCCGAAAATTTTCAGACACCGGACATGCGCGCCGCCCGAAGTTGCAGCACTGAATTTTAAACCTTTGAATTTTTGCGTTTTAAATCAACCAAATTGGATTCAGCGAACCAAAAGGGAAGTTTGACTACTATTCTATTATGTCCACCTTGGTTACTCACTCAGATGTAAAGTGAAAGCAATCGAAATTGGTCTTTCTTCAACGCCATTTGCGAGTCTCAACACCAAATTTCCGAACAAAATTTCCTCCCTTTCTCAGACCAAATTCTCCATAGAAAAAGACCCCAAATGAAAGCACTATCCTTTTCATCCTCAAACCAGTTATGGTACCCAAATCTGCAAACCCCTCAAACCAAACCTCCACGCCTCAACTTCACCAAAACCGAATTCGACCCATCAAAGAAAACCACCCCGCTTGTCTCTTTCGCCACAAACCCATCGCAATCTCCGCCACTGGTGGTCGTCGGATCGGCCAACGCCGACATTTACGTGGAGATCGAGCGGCTTCCAATGGAGGGCGAAACCGTCTCGGCAAAGAGCGGGCAGACCCTTGCCGGAGGCAAAGGCGCCAACCAGGCGGCTTGCGGGGGTAAGCTCGCGTACCCCACATACTTTGTGGGTCAGGTTGGTGGGGACGCTCATGGGAAGTTGATCGCTGAGGCTCTTGAGAGTGGTGGTGTTTGTGTTGATCATTTGAGTGTGTTGGGGAATGTGCCCACTGGCCATGCTGTTGTGATGCTGCAGTCTGATGGGCAGAACTCGATCATCATAGTTGGCGGGGCCAACATGTGTAGTTGGCCCCAGAGTTTGCCTGATGAGCATTTGGAGCTGTTGAGGAGTGCTGGTATTGTTTTGCTTCAGAGGGAGATTCCGGATTCTGTCAACATCCAAGTTGCCAAGGTCAGGGATTTTACCCCTTTTTTTCCGTTTGGGTGAATGAAATTTGTACTTATAAATGTGATTTTGTTGGTATTTGATTTTGATGAAGAAACATCAACCACATTGAGGATAATGGTACAATGAAATGAGTAGAAAGTTCAAAGTTTGATTGTCGAAGAACGAATGAGCGCAAAGAATAAGTGTAGAAGGTGTAGAAGCATAAAAATTAGGTCTGTTTATATTATTTGATGTAAATTTGTAGGATGACAATTTTTTATTTTAGAGTTTGGTCTATTTTCTTTTCATTTTTCAGATTATCATGTCTCTTTGAGTGATTGGATTTGATGTGTGTAGTTTTTCATAATCGTTTTTCATGTAAAAAGAACGAGGTAAATGCAATTCAATTTAAATTGCAAGGCGGAGATCAACATGAAAGGACTCTGTGGTCTTTTTTTTTCTTTTTTTTTCCGTATTTTTTTTTAAGTGTGAATGATGAATACGCCTTGCAGCCTTAGTAATGTGGATCATTCTATTTTTATATTATAGGTACTATTTCCATCATGAAATTTCTTAAAAACTATTTTGTAACTGGGTAGAACTTCCTCTTAATTTTCAGTTATCTCTTCCATGACTTCGCAATATTTGGCTGCATGATTTGAATGAACTATGGTTATTTGTGAGTTTGTATTCTGGTTAGAAAGCTCTATAGCTTTTTTCTAAATCTAGGTGAAACGGCTGGTTACTACTTTACTAATAATTTGGGCATCTTTTAATGTTTCTTTTGTTTCTTGATCAATGTGTGGTAGGCAGAGCAAGGAGAAAGGGATCGTGAAGAAAAAAAGTTGTAGGTATTTCTTTGTCACTTTAAACAAGGACATGAAGATAGGATAAAAAAGGGACAAAATATCTGAAATTGTATCAACATTCAATTAGTTCTCCAATGGCTGATAGAATTTAACCGCTCATGAAGATAGGAAATCAAAGGTTAGAGTTGCTTTTGACAAAAATTATATTATCAAAATTATCCATGTTAGATATTCTAGAAAAGAGAGGAGTGCATGTGAGGTATATCAAGGTAATTAAGGACATGTACGATGGGGTGGTCACGAGTGTGAGAACTGCTGGAGGCTACATGACAGAGTTCCCCATTCGGATCGGCCTTCATCAATGATCTGCTCTTAGTTCTTATCTTTTCATCATCGTGATGGATGAGTTGACAAGAGAAATCCAAGATAGAGTTCCTTGGTATATGCTTTTTGCGGACGATATAGTTTTAGTTGATGAACATAGGGAATGAGTTAACCGTAAGTTAGAACTGTGGAGACAGACTTTCGAGACGAAGGGATTTAAGTTAAGTAAAACGAAAACTGAATACATGCATTGTAGGTTTAGTAATTCAAGTAATCAGAGTGATGAAATTTCTTTAGATGGTGTAGAGATTGGGGCTTCTAGGAAGTTTAGGTACCTTAGGTCTATAGTGCAGTATGAAGGAGATATATAAGAGGATATTCAACATAGGATTAAGGCAGGGTGGGTTAAGTGGAAGAATGCTATGAGAGTTTTATGTGATGGTAAGATGCCTATTAAGTTGAAATGAAAGTTTTATAGGACTGTAATCCGCCCAGCTATGTCATATGGTAGTGAATGTTGGGCCATTAAGAGACAACATATATCTAAGATGAGTGTAGCATAAATGCGTATGTTAAGATGGATGAGTAGCCATATGAGAATGGATCGCATAAGGAATGAAGTTATTCGTAGTAAAGTAGGTGTAGCACCAATAGAAGATAAGGCGCGCGAAGGCCACTTGAGGTGGTACGGGCATGTCCAACGTAGACTGCTAGAAGCATCAGTTCGTGCTTGGGAGGACATTCTTATACTAAATACTATGAGAGGGAAGGGTAGACCAAGAATTACGTGGACCGAAGTAGTTAGGAAAAACGTTCTAGATTTAGGCCTTCAGGAAAGTTTAATTTCGAACAGAGCTGCATGGAAAAGTGAAATCCATATAGCTGACCCCAATAAAGTTGGGATTAAGGCTTGTTGTTGTTGTTGTTTGTATCCATGTTAGATATTCTTTTAGTTCAAAAGGTGAGTCTCAAACTTAAAGAGGTTCTTTCAAAGTAGGGAGCTTTAGCTTGTTTGCTCACAGCATCAGCCAATCTAATAAATTAACGATGAAAGATTAGATAGTTAGGTTTTCTGTATAAAACCCTAAGAGAGAGCCGGCTGTAATCATTCTTTTCAAGATAGAGAATTATTTTTCTCCTATTTCACAACATGGTATCAGAGCTTTAGGCCCTTTTCTGGGAATCAAAGCTCCGGCCTTCATAGCGAAGGGACTGCTCTGTGCGAAGCAGTCGTTACAAGAGAGGGCTGCTGTTCCAGTCATCATTGTTGCTGCTCAGACACGTCGTTGCTGCCTAGAAGTGTTGCGGTCATATCAGCCTTCATCGCTGGTGAGATTTGCCTTGTATAACCGACCTTAATTGCCTTAAGATTGTTGTGGAAGATGTCAGAGGTGGCAGAAACTGCTGCAACACAGTCGGAGGATGCAGAGATTGTACGGTCTCAGCAACTTAGAGAATTGTAAAATATTCAGGTTGCATATGGATTGAATGGAAAAAATTACCTTAAATGGTCTCAATTGGTTCGGAGTGTGCTGAAAGGGAAAGGAAAGATCAATCATCTCTTAGGGACAGGACCAAAACTAGAAGATCCTTTATTTGAAGCGTGCGATGAAGAAGATTCGATGATTATGGCATGGCTGTGGAACTCCATGACTCCGAAGATAAGTGATACGTGTATGTTTTTGGCTACTGCCAAGGATATATGGGATGCGATTCAACAAATGTACTCCAAGGCGAGGGATGCGACTCAAGTCTATGTAGTCAAAGTGAAGACGATCACTGCAAAACAAGGAGATAGGACTGTCACTGAATATGCTAATCAAATGAAGACTTTGTGGCAAGAACTTGACCATTATATGGTGATTAAAACCAAGTGTCCCGACGATGCAACAATACTAAAGGATTTCATTGAGCAAGATAGAGTCAATGATTTCCTTGCTGGACTCAATCCAGAGTTTGACTTAGTAAGGATCCAGATTCTTGGCAAACCGGAAGTTCCATGTTTCAATGAAGGGGTGGCACTCGTTTGAGGAGAGGAAAGCAGAAGAGATTTAATGCTCGAACCGAAAAACACTGACAGGTCAGCTATGGTGGCTAATGGCGGCAGCAAGTCAGCCACAAATGTAGAGAAGGCGCCAATGTTTGAGAATGGTAGGCCTGGTCAACCGAAGGCTCAACCGTGACTACAAGGACACTTTATGGTGCACTAATTGCAAGAAGGCACGCCATACTCGTGAGCGATGTTGGAAGCGACACGGGAAACCACCAAGCCGAGAGTGGGGGCAGAAGGGGGAGCAACCAAGGAATAATGGTCAGGCCAATATTGCAGCGGTGCAGCAAAACGAGGGAATACCGCAAGAGAGAGGCAATCTTAGCCAAGAGGAAATCGAAAGGGTGAGATCTCTTATCGGCAACCTTGACAAACCATCAGGTATTTGTTCATTGGCATATTCAGGTAAATTTTCATTTTCCATGGGATTAAATGTCTGGGATATAACCTTTACCGGCTCCTGGGTCATTGACTCAGGTGCTACCGACTATATGATCCACTCACCAAACATTTTTTCCTTATATGTCCCATGTTCAAGCAGTAGAAAAATAGCCACTACAGATGGCTCATTAACCACTCTAGCAGTTATAGGAGATGTCAGAATAAGCTCATCACTAGTATTAATAAATGTCCTTCATGTCCCCAAGTTGACCACAAACCTTGTTTCCATCCAAAAGCTCACTAAGGATTTACATTGCAAAGTGGTTTTTTATCATAGTTATTGTTTGTTTCAGGACGAGGATTTGGGAAGGATGATTGGACGTGCTAGAGAACGAGATTGACTCTACTTTCTTGAAGCACCAAGTCAGTCAAGCATTACCAAGGGGAAAACTTCTCATTCTTTTGTCTCAGAGGTCTTCTCATCCAATAATGAAAAAGTTTGGCTTCATCATCGCCGACTTGGACATCCATCATTTAGGATTATCAAAATTATGTTTCCTTCTATATTTAAAGGTCTAGATGTTGAACATTTTCATTGTGAAGTGTGTGAACTTGTTAAAGCGTGTACCTTTTCCAATCAGTAAGAAAAGAAGTTCTATTCCTTTTTACCTCATTCATAGTGACATGTGGGGTCCTTCTACTATTCCTAATGTAACAGGAGCAAAGTGGTTTGTTTCATTTATTGATGCTTGCACTTGAGTCACTTGGATTTTTTTGCTTAAACAGAAATCCGATGTCAGTACTGTCCTTTCCAATTTTTGTTCTATGGTAAAGACCTAATTTGGGGTCAATATCAAGAGATTCAGGTCAGAAAATGTTAGGGACTATTTTAATCAAGGCCTAACTCCATACTTCCAAACGGAAGGAATCATCCATGAGTCATCTTGTGTTTGTACTCCACAGCAGAATGGAGTGGCAGAAAGGAAAAATGGTCATCTTCTTGACTCCACCCGATCCTTCATGTTTCAGAAAAATGTGCCTAAATCTCTTTAGGGGAAAGCAGCTCTTACATCTACTCATCTTATAAGTCGTTTGCCTTCTAGAGTCTTGGGTTTCAAGAGTCCAATGGACATACTTTCCACATTCTATCCAAACCTACACACTACAAACAATCTTGTCCCTAGGATATTCAGGTGTGTGGCATGCGTCCATGTTCATAGTTAAAACAGGGAGAAGTTAGATCCAAGGGCGTTAAAATGTGTTTTTGTGGGTTATTCTTCTACACATAAAGGATAAAAGTGTTACCATCCTCCATCAAAAAGGTTCTATGTTTTGGTTGATGTTACTTTCCATGAACAAGAATCCTATTTCACTGCCCTTTTATCTTCAGGGGGAGAATTCGGTAATGGAAGATAAAGACAGGGGGGACTTTTTCCTCCTTGATCTTCCTCCATCACTTCCTGTGTCAAAACCTTGCTCCACTGATTTCTTGCCTGAAACCGAGCCTACAAAGCCTGTTGAAAATCCTGAAACCGAGCATGAAAATCCTGAAACGGAGCCTGCAAATCCTGAAAATCTAAACTCTGCCCTTGAGAATGTGGGATTTGGCAAAGGCAAGGTGTTTTCAAGAAGGAAGATGGCTATCCATGAATCTGTGCAAGTTCAAGACTCCAACCCGGTTCCTGGAAATGAGGTGACAATTTCTAATCCTTTATTTCAATCTGAATCTCATATGAATAATGATGACCAGGATCTCTCTATTGCCATTAGGAAAGGAGTTAGAGAATGCACAAATCGACCTCTATACCCTCTTGCACAATTCCTTTCCTTTAAAAAGTTCTCACCATCCCATAGAGCCTTTCTTGTCAGCCTAAACACTATTACCATCCCTACTAACTTATCTGAGGCTTTAACCAATGAAAAATGGGGTGTAAATGGGAACAAACCCATGGGGTGTAAATGGGTTTATACAGTGAAATATTGAGCAGATGGTTCAATAGATACAAGGTTATCAGATTGATTACAATTGGGAGACATTTGCTCAAACCTATCAGATTGATTACCAGGAGACATTTGCTCCAGTGGCTAAGATGAACACTGTAAGAGTTCTGTTGTCATTGGCAGCCAATTACAATTGGGAGTTGCAGCAATTTGATGTCAAGAACACTTTTTTGCATGGAGAACTAGAGGAAGAAATCTACATGGAAGTCCCACCAGGTTAAAATCATAATTTAGATGCACATACAATATGTAGATTAAAAAAGGCTTTGTATGGACTTAAGCAGTCACCGCGAGCTTGGTTTGGTTGATTAGCAAGAGTAATGATGGCTATGGGATACCGGTAAAGTCAAGGAGACCACGCGCTGTTTGTTAAACACTCATCCTCAGTGGGAGTAACAGCTCTCTTGGTGTATGATGATGACATAATAGTGACAGGAGATGATGATAAGGAAAGACAGCTTCTGAGTCAATGTTTAGCTAAGCAGGGTATTTTCATCTCACAACAAAAGTATGCTACAGTTCTTCTCAAAGAAATTGGCAAGACCGCGCGCAAACCAGCAAGTACTCCAATAGACCCGAATCTGAAACTCGGAGAAGCATAAGAGGATGCTACAATGGATAGAGAAATGTATCAACGCTTGGTTGGGAGGCTTATTTACCTATCTCACACTCGGCTAGATATAGCATATGCAGTGAGTGTGATTAGTCAATTCACGCATAACCCGAAGGAAGCTCATCTACAAGCAGCATACCGAGTATTGCATTATCTTAAAGGGACACCGGGTAAAGGCATTTTGTTCAAAAGGAATGGAGGGGTAGTACTTGAGGCACACACATATGCTAACTATGCTGGGTCAATTGTAGACAGGAGATCAACCTCTGGATATTGTACTTTTCTTGGTGGAAACCTTGTGACATGGAGGAGCAAGAAACAGAATGTGGTAGCACGGTATAGTGCGGAGGCCGAATTCCGAGCAATGGCTTAAGGCGTGTGTGAACTGTTATGGTTGAAGATTATTTTAGAAGACTTAAAGATTAAGTGGGATGGCCCGATGAGACTCATTGTAACAATAAATCTGCAATCAGCATAGCTCATAACCCAGTGCAGCATGATCGAACAAAGCACATCGAAATCGACAGACACTTCATCAAAGAAAAACTGGATAGCGGTTTGAGTTGTACACCCTCTGTATCTACACAGGGTTAACTTGCTGATGTACTCACCAAGGGACTAAGTAGCTCAGTGTGTCGGAATCTTGTGTCCAAGCTGGGAATGGTGAACACTTATTCACTAGCTTGAGGGGGAGTGTCAAATTTCGTGTATTGTAAATAAGATAAATTAGGAAAGTTTGAATTTTGTATATTAGGAAAGTTTAAATTTTGTATCCCTAAAATTAGGATAATTTAGTTAGTTTCCTATTCTATTGAAATACCCCATTAATGGTGGGATTAGATGTAATCTAGGAGATTCTTTTTATACTTAGGTTTTCTTATAAAACCCTAAGAGAGGGCCGGTTGTAATCATTCTTTTCATAATAAAGAATTATTTTTCTCCTATTTCACAACATACGTCTCTCTCTCTCTCTCTCTCTCTCTCTCTCTCTCTCTCTCTCTCCCCCTCCTATTTTTCTCCTAAGAGAGGCCTTCTATTAGAAATGCTGAAAGATGATTTTCTCTAGAAATATAGACTAATTACTGAAAATATATTAGAAATGCTGAAAGATGATTTTCTCTAGAAATATAGACTAATTACTGAAAATAGTGCCATGAGAGTTGGCCATAACTGTCAATTATGAATACTTTTGGATAACTTAGGGTGTGCAGGCCTCTTTGAGTACCAACTGTCAATCATGAATACTGGATTTTGATATATGGCCTTAACAATTTTGTGTAAGTAAATGTACACCAAAAAATTGCGCAAATGATTTCTCTTTTTTTTTTTTTTATGTATTTTCAAAATGGATGCACGCATTCGTCAACCAGCAGAAGTGCTTGGGATACACCGAATCATTGACTTGTGGGTTCAAGGTCACGTCCTTTCTACAGTATTGTATATGCGTACCCTTAAGCATAGATCTCAAAAAATTAATACTATATTCTGCTATCCACTATCTTGACATTAGTATTTCTGTTTACCTTACTTTACCCATATGGTTCACTGTTGTCCAACTCTTGGGAACTTTTTATCTATTTGTTGATAATGCGATAGATTGTGTTGGTTTCATTGTCTTTGAAGTTCAGTGTATTTTAAGATGGCATATTTCTTGCTTCGTTCCGGAATTCTAAGGCACCTTTGGTATTCTCTTTTTTTTTTTCCCAATGCAACTAGCATGATCGCATGTTCATTGCTCTCTACTTCTTGTAATTATTCTCTGACCATTGTAAGATATGCGATTCTCCCTTTAGGCTGCCAAAAGCGCTGGGGTTCCTGTTATTTTGGATGCTGGTGGAGTGGATGCTCCAATCTCACAAGAACTGCCGACCAAAACTTTTGAACAGATTAGCAAAGCTGTAGCGAAATGCCACGAAAAGGTGAGTTTTGGTGAACACGACAAAGTATTGATGAAATTTTTCTTTTTTTTTTCCCTTCTACGTGGTTGTGGTAATAGAAATTTGATTTTTTTTTTCTTTTTCTAGCATGGGGAATATAATGGTTCTGTTACTTCTGTATATTCAATTATATGGGCATGTATGGGCGTGAGTTTTAGCTGTTTCTCCATTAGTTTCATGCCTTTTGTCATTGGTCTCGTCTAAAAAACACCAGCCTGAGAACGAAGAAGTATCTAATTTTGGAATCTTTTTTCCCCCTATTACTGTTCCCATATTAAGATTATCATTTCTTTGATGTCTCTTATTTTCTAAGATGGCTTTGATTTGGATAATAGATATCCTCCCTTGAGCACAATGAAACCTTCAGTTTACACAGCTTGCTCATACTCGGGCTTATAGGCGTTTGAACATAGAATGTTCTCTTGTTAACAAACTTTCCTCTCCTATTGGTGGAAGTTTTACTGAAATCTGGTTTTGTACTAAATTACAGTTTTTTTTCCCTTATTATAAACAAGTCAATAGGTGATAGAATACCTGAAATTGGACGTAGATCCCAGTTGCATTCTGGTGTTACAATTTTATCATATCTCAGGGTGTTAAGCAAGTCTTGGTGAAACTTGGTGCCAGAGGATCTGCTCTTTTTGTAGAAGGGGAAGAACCAATTAAACAACCAGTCATAGCTGCCGAGAAAGTCCTTGATACTACTGGAGCTGGCGATACTTTTACCGCGTCTTTTGCTGTAGCTCTTGTGGAAGGAAAGTCTAAAAAGGAATGCTTGAAATTTGCAGGTATCTTTCTATCTATCTATCTATCTATCTATCTATCTATGTCTTGTGTCCCGTGCATTCCTTTTTACAAATTTGAAGTACTCTTCATGATTTCTTCTTTCTGCAATTTTCTTTCAACAGCTGCAGCAGCTTCTCTTTGTGTTCAAGTGAAGGGAGCCATACCGAGCATGCCTGACCGGAAATCGGTTATAAATCTGCTTCAATCTCTTTAAGGATGCCACTGTGACCAATGATTTATTTATTTTTTTGGGTAGAAGTGTCCAAAGATAGTTACAAAGCCGAATAAACTCTTCTTTGGATTCATGAATTTTTTCACGGGCACATTGTAAATTTACTTTGATGCTGCTAAAATTCCATTTTATCAAATAATATATGGATTTAGGCTTATCAAGAGATAATGTAACTTCAGCTTAATAACAATGACGATGCCAACTTGGGCGGCTTCTCCAGCACTAATCGCCATAGGTGTTATTTGGGCACTTTTATATATGTTAAGAGTACCTATTCTGCTTCATTGATTTTTTTTTTTTTTTTTTTTTTTTTTTTTTTTTTTTTTTTTTTCAAAAAAGGGGATATGAGGGTTTTTTTAAAAAAGAAAAAAAAAAAACCATAATTTTCCATATTCTATTAAGGGATTTTCTTTGGTGTTCTCTTTTTTAGAAACCGGTATTCTCTGTTTATTAATCATCAGATTTGTATTAAGTCTAGTCAAAAACCAAATTAGATTGAAAAAATAATATAGATCCGACGGCTGTTAAATAAAAAATACCGGTGTTCTTAAAAGTACAGAGAACACTAGAGAAATTTCTTACTACTAAAGAATTCTTTTCTATTTTAATATATTTAGAGTACTTTCATGACTGGAGATTCATGTGTATCTATATCATATTTAAATTAAAATATAAAAGAACTCCCATTGTACTTATGGTCTTGTCGAGTTTGCTATGATGTATTAACTATTCTTGAAGAGTTATGCACTTAAAATGAAATTAAATCAATTAACTTAAAACAACAAGAACAAAAGGGGGAAAATCACCTTGTATGCTTTTGGTTCTCTGCCCTCTCAACCAACTACCTTCAAACCAGTTGTGGCAGATCATCATGAAATAGAAAAGCCAACAACAAATAACTAGGTTTAGTGCCATTTGGCAGCTGAAAAATGCAAAAATGGAGTTTCACTTAGAATACATTAAGTTGAAATTCCAAGGTCCTGTCAAACCGCTCCTCTTATAGTGTTCTTCCACTGAAGACAGTAGTACATTATTGGATCCTTTTTTCTGTTGCTTTCCATATAACCAAAACCACTTCTAGTCTCTTTGTCATTGTCCTTCTTCTTTGACCAAAAAATTGGAAGTTCTCACCTACTAATGACACACTATGAATCTTTGCTGATCAGAATTCTCCCTTTGGTCCTCCTACTCATCCTTTTCTTTCCTCACTCGAGTTTAGCTCCGGTAGAACTTGAAGGTACTCTCTCTATTTCTCTGTCTTTTTGTAATTTTCTTGATTTCTTACTGACTTTTAAAAGCATATATTCTTAGATGTTGAGACCTACAAAGTTAGAACTACATCCACAATCGATCTCCAAGACATGGTGAGTGTATACAACGACATGTATATGTAGTGTATACACACACAAACACATATTCACTATCGAGTCTCTTTCTCTCTCTGAGTTTTGATTAGTTCTATGTTTGTTGATCTTAATTTGCCAATCAGTTCTACTTTGAGAACAAAGGTGAACAAGTACTCCAAAGGAAAGTGTTGCATGAAGTGTACTCAGGAACAAATCCTATTGGCAATTCCATTCCACAGCAGAAGAGGATGAGAAGGATAACTAAATTACATAGGTTTCCCTAGTAAGCTATTTCTTTGAGTGCATATTCATCATCGATCTTGTCTAGCTTGTATAGAGAAGTACCAAAAGAAAAAAAAAAAAAAAAAATCAATGTTTAGCAACTTCTCAATCACAATTTTTCACGAATGGATAGCAATGATAGTGGCCATCATTATTACTTCATTATTTTTTCCTTTTTTTTTTTATTATCCTTTCTCAAGCTTTCTTTAATGTTTCGAATCCCTTGTCATGACTCCGAATATTTTTTAATTGAATTCGGAATTCTTTGTATTCATTAAGAATTTCTCAAGCTGGGATTTGAAATAAAATAGTGGAATGCTATTCTCTTGAGTTTTGTTTTGTTTTTTTTGTTTTTTACAATTGTTTGTTAACGATTTATTTACTCATGTGATAGTGGTTTTGAAGTCTCAGAGAATGCTAATTACAATAAGTTTTATTCTTTTTCCTTTTCCTTCCACTCTCTTTTATATATTCTTTTGGCTACTTGTTATATGAATGCGGGACTAAATTCTAAGAAATGCGAGTATCACTCTTTTTGTCATTTTCTTTATCACTCTCTGCATTTACTGTATGACACCTGAGCTTCACTATCTCATTTTCTGTTTAAATAATAATATATTATCTTAGTAGAGTTCACGTATCAAATCGTGAATGTGAAGAATGACAAAGAGAATAACAGAACGCGTGATGCTAGCATTTCTCCTAAATTCTTATTGTAAATTGGCTTTTATGTCATCTGGTTTTAAAGTTTCCATTGAAGCGCGTGGCACACTAACATTTTTACACAGCAAAAAGCAGATAATAAAGCTTCATTAGACAATGCTTATTTGCTAAGCTCTTTGTTAAGCATAAAAGTAATATTTTACTGTTGTTTTTCAGCTTTACACTATTAGGAACACTTTCTCAATCTTTATCAAAAGCAAGTGATGTAAAATCTCACTCCACGCTGCTTCTTCATTTGAAAATTTTGGGATTAGAAAAGAACATTTATCTAATAATGGCTGCTTTGGAGATTATGGCTTTCCTCTGTAGTAGTTTGGTTGATTATTTTGATGAAAAGAAAGCGCACATTCGATGCCCCAAAGAGTATATATGGTTAAAAAAAGAGATAAGACCAAAACATAGAGGAGGGAAAAGAAGAAAAAAAAAGAGAATATTTAGTTGACTTGAGAAACATTGAACAGTTTTGATGCAGGGAAGAAAAAGAAAAAGGGGTGTTTTTTCACATGTCCCTTCTGAGATTATTGCCATATGCAAAGCAGTAGGTCTTTGAAAATAAGGAATCTTTTGTAACAGATGGGCAGCAAAAATTGACACATTTCATTGTGTTAGTCTTTCAAAAAATTCTGCAAATGCTGCTCTACCAAGATCTTCTTGGTCTAATAAAAGACAGAAAGAAAAGAGATTATTAAAAGCATAAGTGTACAATTCTGATAAAAGCAAACTATTTGTTTTATGTTGTTGCCTTTAAGAAAAAGATTTTGGAGTGATTGAAAGAGATTGATACAAATGTGTTTTATGTAAAGCAGAGTCAAAGATGGCTAAAATGGCTTTTGGGATTGGTTTCTGTTTTAACTATGATTACTGATTAGGTAGATTGTAAAATTGTGACTTCCTGATTAACTTGACCAATTCAATATTAAAAGCAAAACTTAGCTGCCACTTAACTTTTTTCCCCTACCACTTAATTTGACCAGTTTTTTTCCCCACCAAATATTAAGAGCATGAAGCAAACTAGCAAAGAATGAGGCATGCCAAAAGAAAGATGTAGCGAATGTGCGTCAAGTTTTTTGCACTAACAGTTTCTATGTTTCAACCAACGAAAAGCCCTGCTTAAAGGGAAAAAAAAAAAAAAGCCTTCAAAAATAATAAAATAAAACAAATAACGACAACAACATAGAAAACCGTTGTTTTTTGACCAAAAGTTCCATAGGGAACTTTTGGTCAACGGTTTTGAGGCCAAGTTTTTTGCCTATCAAAAGAAATTACAGAGATCTTAGAAAACATAAACTGTTCTAATTAAGAATAATCCCAAGTATGCACTTCACGAGTTTCAGAAAAGATGCTTCTACACATTTAGCTTCAGATAAGTAACTGAAACTTTAAAGCTAGCGGATAGCAACACATATGGAAGACCTCATTACTCTTGTTATTTTTCATCTCATAATTTTACTACATGCAAAACTATCAAGAAAAAAAAAATTTACTACATGCAAGATTTGGTCACTTCTTAGTATACTCCATCCAATTACAAAGCCCCCCCACCAAATATGACATTTATCTTATCCAACACGGTGAAATCTAATTCTTTGCATATGGATGATCAATATAGCATCCTATAGGAAGTTGTTAACATCTCCTTCCATTTCAAACCCTACTGTCCCCAAACCATGGAGTTCGTGCATATAAATATTGCCCGCAAAGTTACGCAGAGGACAGGGATCGGCAAAGCCTCCAAGCCTTTGCTCAGGATAGGTTCAACATGATGCAGAACTGGTTTCAGCTGTTCGCTATCATGAACTTTCGAATCCAAAGCTTTTCATAGGATAAACATCACCATCATCCAATCTGGAAGGTCAATCATGTCGTTATATCAACTTTAAGTTTGATCTATGGTAAGCCAGTGAACCATCAACTGAACTTTCAACTGTTTGTCATCAAAAAAATTGTGTTGATACTACAAAATCAGTTGTGGTACTGATTGGATTCACCACATCAACATAAGTTGTGTTCAATACAAGGTTTAAAACTATGTTCTCGCCACTCTCCACATATCAATCTAGTTAGACTTCTATCTCTAATGAATGCAATAACACACTTTTCTTTCTGAAAATACTGCACCCTCCATAAGTCCCCAGCCAACTGAAGATCTTCCGACTATATAAACAAGTAAATTTATTCTTATATAAAGAATGGATTTCAAACTTCCAACTTGCAACACAGTCTTCTCAATATTTTTCAAAATCACACTGAGCACTTACCTGATAAACAGTCCCATATTATTAGACATTGGTTAGAGTTTGCATTTTCCAACTTCTAGCTTACAAGAAAGATGTTTCACATACGTAAGACAGCTTTTAACCCGAAAAACAGGGAAATCTCCCATTCTATTGCAAAGGACAAAATGTAGCAATACAAAGCCAGCACCACCACCTATGCTATATGCACGAGATTGTTGTAGAACAGCCTTCTAGCAAACACCAAGAGGAATTTAAAATATCAAAATAAAATTCAATGAAAAAAAAAACAAACCTACTGAAGAAGAAGTCTGCAGTACTACAACCTCCATCAAAGCACTTTCGTGAGCCATTTTTCCGGGCAGTACATAGCAGCAGAAGTTTATGCATAAGAAAACGCTAAGGCAGTGAAGGCAGTGATCTCTTCAAAAAAAGAAAAGAAAAGAAAAGAAAACCGAAAAGAAATTTGGGCAACCATAATCATCCATAATCATCCGCGTATACTACACAAACGAAAGTGACTCCATAATCATTTCAATTCATATTTAGAATGTGGATTATATAAGTCCATTCTCATTACAATTCATCCTTTTGCAACATTGCAAAACTATTGCAATAATTACAACACTAGATATTTACAACATCATAGAGGAGAACGAAACACTCTCCTCAGAGTTAATTGAACACAAATGGACAAACCCAAACTCTGCATTTTGACAACATACATTGCTATCCAAAATGCTGTCCAAGTGAGTGAATGAACATCAGTTGCCAAAACCGATGAACAATCGAAAAACAGACCAATAAACCCACCCCAAAAGAGACATTTGGGGATCCAAATTCTACCAAATTCCAATCAGTTACATTCTCAGTAAAATATTTATTCTATCAACAAAGGGGCATCTGAAAATACGCACCAAAGTAGAATAACCGAAACCCGTAGCCGAATCATGCTCAAGAACAGCAATCCGGGCAACGAATCAATCCGTTTTCATTGCACTCCAAACATCTCTTCATCATTTCTTCATCTTCATCAAACACCTTCCTACTTCCACTGCAATTCAAACACGGAATAAACCTCACATCCCCACAGCTCTCGCACACAAACCCGGGCTCTCGAACCGGAATACCTTCGAGAATTTTCGCCAATTCGCCCGTTTCGAATAGCTGCTTGATCACCTCAGCTCCACCAACATACTTTCCTTTTATAAAAACTTGAGGCAAACCCAAATTCTTATCACCTAAAACGCTCTGCAACTCTATTCTATACGCTGAATCCATCGAAATGTCCCGTTCGTCGACCCAAACCCTAAATCCCCTGAATATCATCCTCACAGCGTAACAATCCTCGTAAGTCCTCCGAATTCCCCGCAAACTTGTCAAGTACACGACGATTCGATCCTCCGTCCCGGGCAATCGAAGCGTCGAGCTGTTCAGAAACGAGGGTGCTCGGAAGTCATGGCCGATCGACTTAGAGGGTTTAAGCTTCGACGAAAACTGCGATTGCTGCGGTGGCTGTTCCTCGGAGCTCGGCGTCTTCGCCGATTCGAAGATGCTGCAGAGCTTTTTCACCTTCCCTTTAATCGAATTGCTCGTCGATCGTACGGACTCGATCGAATTGTAGAGTTTCGCGAAGGAGCTCGTCCGTTCGAGACCCATTTGGGGCTGAGTCGGCTTCTTCGGAGGGTCCGCGGATTCTGGGTACATAGAAAGCGAGCGGTTGAAAAAGAAGAACCTCGGTTTCTCCGAAGAATCTAAGTTTTTCCCGAAATCCGCCATTGACGAAGGTCAAGAAAGCGCCGAGAATTCGTTTTCGCGATTTCCAAGCTCCGATTAGGGCTTTTTCCCCGGACGATCGATCAAGATTGAGATGATCTTGACCGTTCGATTGGGGAAGAACAAGGAACTCCGATTTGTGTATCTCTTTTGGGTTGTTTTTCTTGTTTTCTGTTTCTGTTTTGGATTTTGGGATTTGTTGGTTTTGTTGTAAAATGAAAGAAATCTTAAGCTCAAAGGGGGGTGTGGCCGCGAACTTTTCTAAAAGGGAGACGTCGACAGAAAGCAAAGAATTTCTGTTGTCAGAAAAAAATAATTATTTGGTATTTTCTTTGCCTGTGTCAGGACAATATGACATATTGGTATTATCAATTTGGAGCCGTCACGGATGTCGATAGAAAGCAAAGAATTTCTGTTGTCAGAAAAAAATAATTATTTGGTATTTTCTTTGCCTGTGTCACGACAATATGACATCTTGGTATTATCAATTTGGAGCCGTCACGCAAATCAATTTGACATGATTAGTATTTATTGGACCGTTCACAATTCATCATATCGATATGTACTTTTTACATATCGTATGGGATCATCTTTATTTTTTATTTTTTATTTTTTAATTTGTTTTTTGGTTTTAAGGAAATATTTTAAAGAGAGTGATATAACAGTGTGGAAAGGAAGAAAGGAAGCGCGTTTTGGTTTTTTATTTTTATTTTTTTATGGTTATTTTCATATTTTCGACACGTTTATTTTAAAGGTTTTTTTTTTTAATATGTTTATTTACCCTTATTTAAAAGGTTTATGGCAACCGACTTTTTTCATTTTTTTCTCCGTGGACCCCGCCTGAGGTGAGGAGATGATGTTAGAGTGGACGCACCATATTTTAGTGAAAGGAAGAGAAAAATCAAGGTGAGATATCTCAAATCTCTTCTTTTTTTTTTTCTTTTTTTTTTGCAAAGATATTCATTGCAAATAATTTTTCAACAATAACAGAAATATGCAACATGAAAAATCCAGAAGACTTTCGGTTAAAGAAAGATTTTTTTTTTCCAATGATTCAAGATAAATTAATTTCCTTTGCAAATAATTTTCCAGCAATAACATAAATATGCATCATGAAAAATCCTGAAGCGATTTTCGGTTGATGAAAGATTTTTTCTTTTTCATGATTCAAGATAAATTAATTTTTGTGAGAAAATTTCCACAAGTCAAATAGAAAATGGGACCCAAATTATCATTGAATGAGGATAAGGAAGTAGGAACCCACAAACAATATAGGCTGCCCTAACAACATGTTTGTCATTGAAAAATAAAAAAACCAAAAAACAAAAAAAAAAAAACAGCAAGGATAATATATATATATATATACACACACACACATATAGGCCTTGATAGTCAAATCAAAACATCTGTCATATGTCGAAGAAGAAAAATGTTGTATAACCCGATGGGATATATCCCTACTCGTATAACCCGATGGGATATATCCCTACTCTCTTATAGGGTGTGGGCCTACTTATGGGATTTATACGCGACTCACTTGTGAACGTTTAGTTGATACATTCAGAATCATAATTCAGAATTATTTTTATTTACGTGTATTTTTGTTAGTGCAGAACACAAAAGGAACGAATTTACCAAACAAAATCTTGGGTTGAGTCGCGGACTAAGTCGCTTTCTTTAAGACGTTTCGCGGCTCTGCCCAAGGTAGTACAAGCAGTATACCAGCCTCGTCGTCCCCAGGATAAAACAGCCCAGAATCACCTCTGTCTCGGACCTCCTCTGCACTGAAGAAAGCCGGAATACAAACACCCAAATATTGCTCGGAAAACAGAAAGCAAGAAGAAAGTTTTTTCTTTTGATTACCAGAGAGAGCATCTAAAAACTTTATATCTCAATCTATCCTCTCTGCCTCTATTTAAAGAAAATTGTATACAATGACGATGAGGAAAGTTAGGAACAAACCATGAGAGAGTGGAGAGGATCGTGGAGGAAATCATGGACCAAGTCATTCTTGTTCAGAGACTAAGTCTTCCCCTTTTTTTTTCGTTCAAAATAGCAACTTTATTTGTTAATAGATAATCTCTTTAGATATAACCACTTTTATTTTTAATTAAAAAAAAAAATTCACACTGCTCCAACAATTCCCCACTTGAATTTTTAACATTTCCATCGAGCAATATTATATAGGATCATGCATAAGCAAAGGTGTCTATCGACTTGAACCCTTACATAGTGAAGATGATTTAGATTATACTAGAGTAACTCGTAGTTTTGAACTCTATCTCTAACAACATCACACACACAACCCTATCAGGGTGAAGTCCAAAAGCCTGTGCTTTACGGCCATGCACGTATATCCCAGTCTAGTGAATGCTCTAGAGAATTTGCCCAAAATTCCATAGGAAGCGGCCACACTTCCACATTCACTTAGGTGAGTCTATCAAGAGTATTCCTATAGCTAAATACTCCACTCCACACAGAGATATAGAACCCATTAAGAGTTTAGAAATAACTCAACCTTCCATCGCTTCAGGATTTCATGCTTCAAAGTAAGATATTCGGAATATAACAAATATTGTTATATTAGCATGATCCAATTCATATCACTTCATGACTTGTTATTACCCATTGAACCTATTTCTTAGGATCTCCAGTCCATAGGTTGGGTTTCCATCACAAGTGACTCATCAATCTACGGGCATAAGTCCCATTCCTTTTGAGGTTTTGCAAACCTTTTCTCTAGCTAATCCTTTCGTCAAAGGGTCAGCCATGTTATCATCAGTACGTATATAATCCACTCTCACAGCTCCAGTGGAGAGATATTCTCTAATAGTACTATGCTTACGACGTATTTGTCGCCTTTTTCCATTATAATAACGGTTCTGAATTTTCGCAATAGCTGCAGTACTATCGCAATGGATCAAGATAGCTGGAATCGGTCTCTCCCATAACGGAATATCAGATAGCAGACTTCTTAACCATCCTGCTTCCTCACTAGCTGATGCTAGTGCAATCATCTCAGACTCCATGGTAGATTGAGCCAAGATAGTCTGTTTCTTAGACTTCCAAGAAACAGATCCACCAAATGTGCTAATATGTAGCCGCTAGTTGCCTTGGAGTCATCTGAAAGAGTATTCCAATCA